AAAAAAAAAAGATAACATTTCTGTACGTTAAAGATATGTATTTTCCGTTATTAACAGATTAATGTTTCTGTAATTGCAAAAATCATTTAGTTCAGTAAAAGCAAGCAAGAGACAGCCTAATAATTCCATCTATTGAAATAGAAAATCATAAAATTATACAATGTCTACATCAAAATTTTTTTTGAATGTCATAAGGTAAAATATTATTGAATATAAATGTTTCCTAGAGTCTATTATTAATAAATAATGTTTTCTAGAGTCTATATATTAATAAATAATTATTTATTTATTTAGCCCGGAAGGAATGATCACAAGTTTTAGCGTGACATCAGATATGACTGTCAGTACTGTAAAAAATATTGCAATAAAACATTTCTATGACGATGATGTATCAAAAAATCCAACTGACTTTCGTTTAATTCATACATCTAAATTTATGCAGCTTCTAGATGATCATAAAATAACTTGTGTAGAAATTCATGAAAATGGTAAAAAATCTGTTAATATTTTGTATTAAATCTACATATATAAAAACAATATAAAATTATTATCTTTGTTTTAGATGAATTAATGTTAATAAACAGTCGTCCAATAGTTATACATGAAAATTTATCTGATGATGCCATAAAAGGTCCAAATGAGGAAGTAATATTACAAGTAACAAAAAATTTAGCTACACATAATCCAACTAAATATATTCCATCTCTTTACTATCCTAGTGATGTAAATATATATACATATATATCTATTTCATGTTTTGTATAAAAAAAATTTATATCATATGTTCTACAGTTTCAGTATGAACTAAGAAAAATTTTAATTACACTTGTAAGAGCATCAGCAAAAATTATATTATACAGTTCAGAAGTACATGAAAAGCTTTATGATATTTTAAAAGAAAAATTAAAATATAAATCAAATATTAATCCAAATGCTATAAAAACTATCGCAGAAATGGGTTATTCTGACAAAAAAGTCTTGAAAGCTCTTTACTTGCGAAAGTATAAGCAATCTATTATTTAATTTAATATTTATAAATATTTATAAATTGACAATAAATTTTATGTTCGGATTTTAAATTTATTACAGATCAAACATAATTGAAGCATTAGAATGGTTAACAGAACATCAGAATGATCCAGAAGATGATGATGATGATGAATACTTTGAATTTATGTCTACTGAAAAAGGTAATGGTAACAATGTTTTCAGTTTATTTATTTATACAATAAAAACTTTTAAAGGAAACGCTTGATTTATTTGTAAAAAATAATTAATAAAATAATACTACAAGTTAATCAAAAACATATTTTTTGATTTTATTCTTAAGAAAATTTTAGATTGTAATAAATAAATATGAGTATTATTCAATAAAAATATGATCTGTTGTTTCACAATTGTTTTATGTATATATTTTGAAACATTAACTTCAGTTTTTTTTTTTAAATTGTTATAAATATTACAATAAATATTATATACTTACAACGTTTTTTCAGTAAATTTTTATTTTATATTCATTGATATATATTTGAAATTATTTATGTAATTGTTATTAAAAATAAGACCTCACACAAACAATTTCTTTTTGAAAATATTATAAATTGATTCATTTGAGTTTCTAAAATAATAACATATATAATAAAATTGGAATGATTAAAATTATAATTAATATTAAATTTTGATTTATAATTATATGAATTGTATAATTATTTGATTTATAATAAATTAATAATTGTATAGAATGTGAAAACTTGGAGAAGGAAGAAAATATACCCAGCATAGTAGATCGTTTGCTAAAATATTATCGTCGGTGCAGGAAGATGGATTTCAAACCTAATCTTAAAGCAGTACAGTCATTATTAGAGATGGGATTTGAAGAAAAGAATATTGTTCAGGCTTTAAAAATTACTGAAAACAATCAAATTAGTGCTGTAAGTAATTATATAATTCTAATTTTATTATATTTTAAATGTATTTTTTGTTTCAGTGTGAATGGTTACTTGGAGAAAGAAGACATAATTTACAAGATTTAGGTCCAGAGCTTGATTCAGATAGTTCAATTTATAAAGCAATCATGAATGATCCACATATTCAACTTAGTCTTACAAATCCTAATATGTTACTTGGTAAAGTTATTTTTTCTAAAAAATAATAAAAATAGTAAGAATGTTTTAAAATTTGATATAATTAAAAATAATATCATAATTAATACAAAATTTGAATTTTTAGTGTATTTATCCCTGTTGGAATCATCAGCTTTAGATGAACGAATAAGAGATCCTGAAATAAAACTAATGATGGATGATATTTTGTCAGTGTATCATACTGAGAAACCTATAATTCATCTAAATCAATATGCAACTTATTTTTGATTTAAAAATTATTTTAATTCAATATAAATAAATGTTAATAATAAATGATTATCATAAGTTCGCGGCACAAAGTTTTGGAAATATTTCTAATGATATATTGTAACAGACACAAATAAAACTTATTATTATAGTAATATATTGAATATATTTATCGATCTTGTATTATATACATAAATAAATAAATTTTATTAATATTATAAAAATTCTATTTTTACATATAATTTTATATTATGTAGCATCATTGGTAGCATTTTTAATATTGTTTTCTGAATTTTTATATATTTTTTTTTGTTAATTAATGCTTATAATAATAACAATATTTTGTATAAATATTTCTCAATTTCATTAAAATAGTAGGAAAAGCAGAATATTACATTTTAAAAAATTAAATAGTTCCAAAAAAGTACGATTTATTGTCGCCACTATCGACTTGAAATTTGACAGATAAATTGCACCACGTGTTTCAACCAAACATTTTTTGCAATAATGGTTCATTATTTTACAAGCGAAGGTATTATTATTTATCATTGACTTCATGTTTATCGTGTATATTTAAATTCTTTTTTTATCTTATATATTTGACTATTAAAAATAATGAAATTCAATAAGGTTAGAATTGTAATTATAATTCTGTATTGCAGTTGTACAGCCACCAGTAACATTATTTATGGGAACTGATCAATATGAAAGTGAGTGAAAATTATTAAAATGTATTATAATATCTAAGACATATTCTTTTAATATATGATTTTTTAGATGATGACCTTATAAAATGGGGTTGGCCAGAAGATGTTTGGTTTCATGTTGACAAATACTCTTCAGCACATGTATACCTTCGACTTCATCTTGTAAATATTTTCTATTAAAAATATGTATATTATTCAGATTTATATTTATTATACATATAAATTGTATCATGTGTATATATAATTTGTAGGGTCAAACAATAGATGACATACCCAGTATAGTTTTAGAAGATGCAGCACAGTTAGTAAAAGCAAATAGTATTGAAGGAAATAAAATGAATGATGTCGATGTAGTGTACACAATGTGGTCAAATCTGAAAAAAACACCAGGTATGGAAATAGGACAAGTTGGCTTTCATAAAGATAAAGATGTTCGTAAAATTCACGTTACGAAACGCATAAATACTATTGTTAATCGATTGAATAAAACTAAACATTCAGAACAAGTAAATTTACAAGCAGAAAGAGAACAACGAGATAGAAATGAACGAGAAGATAAAAAAAGACTTTTGAAAGAGCAAAAAGAAAGAGAGAAAGCAGAAGAAAAACGAAGAAAAGAAGAAGCAGAAATGAGGTAAATCAATAGTTGTTGTCAATAAAAAAAGATTATTTAATTACATCAGACTTAACATTATTTCTTACTTTTGCAGAAGTTATAATTCTTTATTTAATACATCTAATATGACATCAAATATAGAAAATAGTGGATATGATTCAGATGATTTCATGTGATGAAATAGTTTACTCAGCATAGTTTAGAATAATGGATAAACATATTTAAAACAAAAAATATAAACTTTAAAATTAAATTTCTTTATTGTTTAAAAAATTGTCATTAGACTTTACAAAAATCTAAGACAACAAGGTAATGTTCAGACTAATAAAATGCTATAAATTAAAATATTTATAAAACTGCAGTAAAATACAAGTTTTACATAAATTACAGAACAGTTTTTAACATTGAGTAGATTTATGTTATATTGATTTTAATATACTTTAATATGTATATTAATATATAAGTAAATCAATATAATATCAATAATATATTTTAATATATGTTAACACTTATTTTATCTAAGTTATTATGATGATAGTTACCTTAGTATACATTAATATTAATAATTTAAATTAGTTATAAAATATAATATTTTCCATTTATTTCTGTAAAGCATACATATTAAAACACATAGGATATATTTTATTATGAAAATAAATAATAATTATTATAATAATGTAACATTAACAGTTTCCAATGCATCCACTATCCATGAAGGATATTCCTTGTTCGGAAACAAATCTAACATGTATTGTTGTATAAATTCAGGAAATCTTTGTTCTTGAATACTTTGTCTAATATCTTTCATCAATTTCATTTGGAATGCAATATTATGAACAGATAGTAAATGACACGCAACTGTTTCTACTGTTACAATATGATGAAGATAAGCGCGTGTGTATGTTTTACATGTACTACATTCGCATGATTCATCTATTGGTCTCATATCTTTACGATATTGGATCTGTCTCAAATTTAGTTGACCAGTACATACTAAAGCACAGCCAAATCTCTGAAAAAGAATTAATGTATCCATTAATAAATTTTGTTTTACTAGTATATTTTGCTTAATTACATATGTTATTAATAATTAATTACCGCTGTTCTTGTAGGAAATACACAATCAAACATATCTATTCCCAAAGCAGAGCAAATAATTAAATCAATAGCAAAACCAACACCCATCAAATAACGTGGTTTATTTTTTGGAAGTATATTTGTAGTAAGATGTACCATTTTCCAAAAGTCATTTTTAGATTCTCCACCACTAGAAATAACATTAATCATAAAATAATTTTCCTTTTTACCTTATTTTACTTAAATTAATATATCAATTACTTTACCTTAATCCACCTACAGCATAACCATTGACTTCACGTTTAATTAATTGATTCGCACATTCTGATCTAAGTTTGGAATTAAGACCTCCTTGTACAATTGGAAATATACTTTGTTCATTTAATCTCTGATGTGCTTTCAGACATCTATCTAACCATCGAATTGTTCTGTAGATAATATACTGAGTATTTTAATAGATTTTTATTATAAATATTACTTTATACATATTTTATAATACAAAAATAACCTATGATATATATATATGAATTATATGTACAAATGTAATATTACCTATGCATTGCTTCTTCTACTCTTGGCCCTGTTACTGTAGTTTTCACAACATCATCAAGTTGCATCATTATATCTGCTCCTATTATGTTTTGTATTTGAATAGAATGTTCAGGTGTCAACATGCAATCTGATTCTATGAAATAATATTAGTTTTGATTATACTCACATTTTGAATATGGAAATACAAAATGAATATTTTGAATATGTTTAAATACAAATTATTCTTATATAATGATTACCATTATATGGTGATTTAAACTTCACACCTTCTTCTGTAATTTTAGCAAGTTCTAATAATGATACCATTTGGAAACCACCAGAATCTGTTAATAAAGCTCTTTTCCAATTCATAAACTTATGTAAACCACCAGCTTTTTCCAAGATATTAATACCCTGCAAAATAACATTTTTATCAATACATTTATTTAAATGTAAGTAATTCAATTATTTTACATTTTGAAATCATAATAAAATCTTTATGCAATAATATGTCTTACATACAGGTCTTGTTCCAAGATGATATGTATTACCAAGTATAATTTGACAATCTAATTGTTCTAATTGTTGAGGTAATAAGCCTTTTAAGGTACCCTAAAATATTAATGCTGGTATCAAACTATATAATATGGCTATAGATAACAAAATATTTTATAAACAATTGAATCATATTACAAGTTTATAACGTATTTTATGATTCACAATATCATAAAATATTAATTTTCCCTGAAATAAATGATAATTGACTTACTTGTGTGCCTACTGGCATAAATACTGGTGTATCTACATGATGATGAACAAGAGTCATCCTACCAACTCTAGCTTTTGTTTGTTTACATTCATAGAATATTTCAAAAAGTAATGGTGATTTTCCTTGTTGTAACATTTTTTAAAATTTAATA